ATCTTTAGCTTGAGATGCCAAAATTACTATGCTTCTGAGACAAAACCAGCCTACTCTCAATAAAAATAAACTTAAGAGTGCAATTACAAACAAACACTCGAGAACCACTGAATAATAAATTAATTAACCACGGATGAGTATGAGTGTAAATTTACGATCATTTCGTTTTTATGACCATTTGATAACCGGCAAATGTCAGTATTTTTACAAGTTTTTTCATAGCATTAAACTTGAAAATGCTTCGAACTACATTACAGGAATACTTGCCTGATTTCTTTTTGTTTCTCTTTCAATTTTTCAACTTCCTCTCCTCACAAATATGTTGTTACACAGATTCTGCAAAATGAATGAAATAAATTATACATAAATCTAATAAAATTTTGCAGTTTTTATCTACAAAAGTCTTCTTCTGGTTCGTAACTTAAGATTTATTCAACGTAAGAAGCAGGTCATAGTATAAACACTTTTCACTACAATCAAGGCTCAAGAAAAGCAGTCAATGGAAGCTAACGAGAATACAACCTAATAACACATCTTCGTTGTTAAAATACTATAATAACTTGTTAACCAAACTCATGTTACAAACTATATCTCTCCAGCCTAAGCTGTAAAAAAACAGCCAGTGAGACATATAAGATTATTAAAACTATAAAGAGCATAATCCTTGCAGTTCAGCAAACTCTAAGGCAGTGGTTCTTAAACTTTTTCAAGCGCGACCCAAATCTGAGTTTTATGAATACTCGCGACCCAATCCTAAAAAACGCAAAATGTGTTTTTAATGTTGGTACAGTTTGACTCAAATACAGACAACTATTTATTAGAAACAGTCCATTGACTCAGTGAGATTGAGGAAACTGAAATTTCCTTTTTTATTATATCTTCAATACACAGCTCTATTTTACTTAACGCAATACGCAAGTTGTCACGGGTATCGAAGCGATTGCGAGCTTAGTTTTGATAACCGTCAGTGCCAAATATCCTCGCTCGCACAAGTGCCTTGTCGCGAATTGTAGCAGAAAAGGCGTCCGCTGTCCGTCGCAAACACGACATCCTAGCTGGCCTTCGGTATCTCTCGCAATATACAACTTTTTACTCGTCACATGTGCACGCACTGCTTCATTCGCCGTAAATGGTGCCTCGAGATGAAGTCACATTTTCTCTAGATATTGAATAATCTAATGTCGAGAAGCGAGCTTTTTCATTGCGTCGTTTATTACAATTTTCATTACCAAAAAGACACCCATTTTTGGTTATTTTAATCCACTAAGACGACATTCCATGCGGTCAACACAACGACAAGCGACATGCATGGTTACCGATACCATAAAAATAATACACGGGACTGGCATATCAGAATTGTGATGTAACAATGAGCTCAAGACAGTTCTTTCCGTGAATGAAATTTTTTATTTCATTATTTTTAAATACCAGAGTTTAGAAGCTAAATTGAAACATTGGGAAAGCTGAAAATTCATCCTTCTCCTCTTAGATTGCCCTTGCATTGACGACCTTGTCGCGACCCATTTTTAAACCTTCCGCGATCCATGTTTGGGTCGCGACCCATACTTTAAGAACCACTGCTCTAAGGAATACATAACCAATTGGGATAAGTTTAGGAATGAATTGTTAAGTAGAACAAAAAGAGAAGAAAATGAAACCGAAACCTATGTAGACAAAACTAATCTAACAGGTATTAATAAGCTGTCCAACATATATTGAATATTGTATTAAAAATTGTATTCTTCTATTCTTGAATAATTCAATATAGATTGCGGAGCAAGGCAATGTTCCCTGAAGTCTGAATTGTATTAGGAGAAAGATGAGCAACACTTATAAATCTGAATCTTATATATGTTAAATGTAGTGAAAAAAACCTGACTGAAGTATATAAAAATATGAATGAGGGGAACCACTACCCAATTACCTCAATAAAAAGGAAAATAAATGTGACTGATGAGTCAGTTAATCTACCATTTATGGTGACTGTGGATATGGTCTCACCCAAAAACACACGCCAACTTTAAAAAATTTATCAAACCACAATAGACAGATTGAAATATTGAGCGTGAGAATTCCAGAAGTTTGAACTAGAGAATAAGTATTTACACAATAAATTTATTGAATGGCCCACGTGTAGAGTAGACTGTAGGTTAGGTTAACTGCCACCATTGAGAATTGATTTTTTAGAAGATTGTTTAACTACATTTTAAATTCTAACTATTCAGTAATAATTAATTTTAGATATTATTATAATTTATTGTATAATAATGTTATTTGTAAACCAGTGAACACAAACTTTATGTATTCTAAATATACACATTTTCGATAAGGTGCATGCCACATTAATTTCCTAAATTAAACCTCAAATTATTGGGCACTTACGACTAGTTTGGCTGATCTAACAAACAAGTTTTGAATGATGCTCAACAAGAAATATTTTTCCACCCAAGCATTTTGAAATGTTTGATCTTTGTCGCAAACTTCTCTATGTTTTACAGACATTATAAATTTTGAAAATCAAACTAAACTAAATTAATAATTATCAGTAGAGGTTACGCGAGACTAACTTCCAATTCTTGGGCTAATGAATCCGTGTGCGTATAATGCAAAGATGCTGTAGCAGGAATAAAACTACCATAATAGGACATTCAAAATCCTGCTGCACACTAACACAAATATATTTCTGTAACGTTTCGTCCGACCAAAATTAGAATTCCTCCGACAACAATGATAATTACAATTAGCAGTTGGGTCATTTAGCAAGTAAAAAACATACAACTGATATTTGCTTTCGCTTTCCCCACTCACAACAAACTGAAGTCAAACAACAGTCATTATTATGACATAAATCGATGTACAGATAATAATAAATTTAATAGGCAACTTGAGTTTTTATCCGATAAAAGTGAGGTCATTGAAGGACCAATACACCAACTTGTAAGTTTTAGTGTATTTATATGAAGTGAGATGATACATACAATTAAAAAAAGTGCCAATGTTGCAGAAGTGTAAGACATGCGGGGCAAGATTAACATTATCAGAAATAGAAGGTCAACTCAATATCAAGTTAATATCTCATCAAAATAGCCCCAGTCATGTGACTACGGAAGAAACCTCATTCAAATTTTTTTGTAGGTTTGCTATTTCAATAGTTTCTTGTAGCCTAGCCTATGAAGTAATTTTTCCATTTCTGAACACTAAACCCATTTCAGTGACCTTACTTACTACCTTATACTCATCAATCAATAGCAAAAAAACAGTGAGTACAATCTTTGTAAAATCTGCCTGGTTGCTCTGTGATTCAAATGTCAGATTTATTACTTACGAGGAAATGATCACACACCTACAAGATGCCAAGATAACATGTGAGATGTGACACAAGTAGATGATCATCAAGCTATTGTAATGATATTTCGCCCACATTTTTAAATCTTATAATAAATACCAAATCAGTAATCATTACGTAGTAGCAACCAGAGGGAAATGTTTCATCGTCACAGATTCATATTAACAAGGAGAGATTCTGAATATAAATCAGATGCTTGTTAGATCAAGTGTTGAGGCAGGTCTTGTATTTTGTCAGTTAGATTTTGTCTTTATCTATGTCAGTATTGTGTAATGAATTAAGTGATTGAAGAAACAAAGCAAAGAGAAGTTTGAAGAAGTTGCTGAAGATAAACTCAACATGTGGAAACATTTAAAACTCTTCAGTTGCAAATGGTTGTTTATCCAAATAGTTGGTGAGATCTCACTTAAAAATAGATAATTAAACATTATTTCAACTGTGCGAAGGGAAACAATGGTTGGACATTTAGTTATTGTAAATTTCCTCAATAAATTCCTATTTCAGTGTTTCTACATTACAACTTATATGATGAATAAATACACATCATTCGAACTGTTGGAAGGGATAACAATATTTCAATAATTTGTCTTTTAAAATATTTTCAATCAGTTGTAATTTTACTAATTCTAGATTGTTTCACCAAAGCATAAATGTTGATTTACATTAATTTAATCGAAACTAAATTTGATAAAAGAAAATATGGAGTTTTACAATTCAAATACTTTGGAAATATTTGTGGAAGGAATTCTCATCCAATTTGGACCAAAAATATATTTGTTTTGATTACATTCTCACACTCTCCAATTTTTCAATATTCAAAACATTGGGTTGTGCATATTTAGCTCCCATGTCGTGGAAATGATACAACTTATAAAAATCAAATTTGTATTTTTAAATATGAGATATTTTTACAGCACTTGGAATAGGTCTGAATGAAGCAGAACAATGCAATGACTGTCCAACTACAATACTTGAAAAAGACAGTAAGGATATCACATACGAACCAAGTAATGAATACAACTGCTGGTGTGATTGGACAATACCAACAAGTATGGACACAGATCATGAAACTGCAGTTGTTCTCTTGTTACAAAATGTTTCACTGCCAGTGACAACAGATAGTGGAAGTATGGACTGCTCTGGAGCAATTAGATTTTCAGGTAAGTATTCAGCAATTATATTAATTGAATACAAGGATTGCTCTAAGTGCTGGATTAATATACGTATTAAATGGTCATGTACAATCGTCATCTATAAAACAATACTTCTGTACTTTGTGCAGGCACTGATGGATATAAATGTGAATTTGCAATCAACTACTGTCTTGCATTTGCAACTGCATCAACCATTTGCAACATCAAAAAACTCAGAGAGAAAATTCCAGTTGCAAATCACACCTGTGATTCAATCATTCCATGGAATAACGTTGCAGGAGGAAGCTCATACAAGATACAATACTATGCAGGAAAACGTTATGGATACACAAAATACTTCACAATTCAATATCTTGTGATAGATTGTAGACCAACAACAACCCCACCAAAACCAAGTACGTCATATACTTTGTGGTTTGCAAATATACATCAACACTTATTTTCTTATTCTCATAGTAAAGTTAAATTTAATTTCAGCAACAACCATGCAAAACAAACAAACAGCAAAGGTTCCATTAACAGTCGCACGAATTATATGCGAAACAACAACTTTTGAAACCACCAAAATTACTGGTATGAATGAATCAAGTAAGTTCATAAGTTTGCTTGTACGTCATAATTTTATGTCGATTTTCCTTATTTTAGTTTTATTACGAGTTCAGAGACTGTATGTGTTAGCCAAGTGAATATAAATAACCCTGCCTATAGGCTTTTGTCCCTTGATGTAAAAGTAGGGGAAAAAAATTAGTTACCTCCATATTGGTACACATACTTCTGGAGTGCCGTTGTTTTAAGATCAAATTCCTTGGATTTGTAAATAATCCTGTGTGAGATGTTTGACAGTTCAAGAAAGAGTTTCCCTTCAAGATTCTGTTTTTCCAAACACTAGTAGATACTTACCCAGCAGTGGCTGGCTGATTGTGTGTTCAGAGCGTAAGGCAAATAATATGTCTCAAAAAGCTATTCCAATTGTAAAAAATCACTAAAGCCAAACAATTCTTTTCTAGAAATGACTACAAACACAAAAGAAACTGCCAGTGATCAAAAATGTATAGAAAACTCAGATTCTGCATCCCTAACAATGATTGCAGTAGGTACATCATCAGGATTTATTGTAGGAATCATCATCGGAGTTTTGACAACTTGCTTGATGCAGAGGTAAACAAGACAAGTTACTGTTTTGTAAAATTAAAATATTTCAAGAGCAATAAACTATTTGGTTTAGCTTATTTGATGCTCAAAAACAAAAAAAAACTTTTGGAAATGGCTGTTCTAAGTGCTAACATAACCAATTCATTATTACCAAAACTTTATTAAAACCATAAAAAAAAATTTTTTTGATGGAAGATCGTATTTTACACTCGTTTGATGGATAATCTGCTTGATAAATAATAAAAATCTTCAATTTGTATCATTTTATTCAATATTAGTGTAATGAAAATAATTACATTATAATCCAGTCAAATACAGTATAAAAGGCTGTCAATGCAAATGTCAGTGCACCGTAATCATATTATTAAAAGTTGTAAAAATTATTGTAATTTGTAGATTATTGAGAAAAAAGAAGCAGAAAAACCAAATGGAAATGCAGAGCAGTCAACATCATCAACATACCACCATGAAAAATGCAGAATATGAAAATCATGTACCAACTTCAAACGGAAACGGATACGAAGTTATAATTCCAGTTGATAATAAGAATGAAAGACCATATGAAGAGATAATATGTGGGATGGAATCTGCATATGAAAAATAAGAGAAGAAATAACCTCTATCAAAGCATTCTTTAGCTAATCACATAAAGACAATAAAAATGATGTGACTTCATCAATTAGTCACTGAAAACTATATAAACAAACATGAACAAACAAGTATAGTTCTCTTTCTCAAAATGAGCTATATTTGTTTACCTAGTTTGAGTTATACTGTTATTTTATCATTTATTTTTGTCAATCCATCATTTTCATAATGCAATATTGCATGTCAGTTACATCATCATTCACCACAATATTCTTTCATAATGCTTGCGTGGGCGATATGGCTCAGCCAGTAAAACCCTTTTCCAGCCATTATGCTCTAATGGGCTTCAGTACTCTTTGGTGTTGAATCCCGGGACTGGAAGTGTTTTAAAGCGCTCTTTAACTTTTTATTGCTTTATTATGTTGTCATGTAACATGAGAAATAAGTTTAGACATGACGCTAAGTGTTGGTTATATGAATAGCATCGTTTTGAAAATGGCAAGTCAGTCGTGCAGCTGTGACAGTTTAGTTAGATACACCCTAAAACAGCAAGGAGTCCAGCTATCCTCTTGCAAATAATTATCTTCCATAGAATTCGAACCTGCGATAATCAGAGGTGCAAACATAATTTTAAAGCTTAGCTGACTCCCATTTCACACAAATATTACTATTACAGCATGAACATGACAAATTTAACAAAAACGAATAGTAATTTCCAATATTCCAACTGTACGAGTGTTAAATAAATAAAGTACATATCAAATATAAGAAAAAGACTTTGCTTCATGGGGCTGAACAAGGCTTTGCACAATGTACTGCTGGGTTCGATACTTAAGTGATTAGTTTACCTTTGACTGGCTAAGGTTGACCATGAATGAGTCCCCTAGCATCGGCTTCTGCCACAATGGCTAATCAGTAAGATGTCATAGATAGGAGTTGTAACAATTAAAATTTTACCAGATGCTCACAACACTTTTTTTATTCAGAAAAATTTTCAGACATGATCTTAAACATTAGTTTTCTAGGAATTTGCTAGCTATTTGTCAGTTTTTAGTTGTGTTTTCTAAAATTTAGGTATGAATCAAATATTTCAATAGAAAATTTGTCATCTGAAGAGTTTAAGTTTAGTTGCAACAATCAAAAATCAATACTGTAAATCTGCAACTGGCAATATAACAAGCTACAATTAATTATCAGTACTTTTAAATAGGTGGTAATAGATTTCGAATCAAAATGATGATTAATAACATGAAAACTAGTTCATAAAAACACTCTCAATATCAGCATCAAAAATTTTACAATGGTGAAGCTTAGAATATTTTTTTCCTGAGGTCAAGGGTCAGGGAGACATTCATTTTATTTATAAAACCATAGTATATTCGGCGCTCCAGAAGTATGTGTACCGATGTGGAGGTAACTAATTTTGTTCACCTATTTTACATTAAGTTGTGTAAAGGGGCGGAAGCCTATGTGCAGGGAGTATATTCACTTGGCTAACACAAACAGTCCCCGAACTCGAAAAAGAACTATAATAAGGAAAATCGGAATAAAATTCTGGCCTAACTATAACCTGGTACACATACTACGGGAGTACCGAGAGAAAGTTCGTATATTCAGAAAGATTGAATTATATTTGCAATATGGTAGGTTCATAGTGTTGGCGTTGGTATATTATATTCTTAACTTCATGATATTATAATTAGAAAGTTACCATGACATTATTATGATAATCAACCCACACCTCTCATCAAGGAAATAATAAAAAAAGCCAAAATAATGAAAGGAATCCAAATAATGATAATCAACCCACACTTCCATCAAGGAAATGATCAAGAAAAGCCAAAAAAAATTATAAAAAGAACTACTCAGACTTGAACTGAGACTCATGCCTATATTCATGCCATTGCCTGATTTGATTCCACACATATAATACGATGTACATTGATGTAAAAAGAATAATGAGCAAAACAAGAGTTGAATATAACAGATAGAATGCATATCCTTTTATAATATACAGTTAGTGAGAGCCACACGAACGCCTGAAGGACACAACTGTCAACATATGATAAAGAAAAATAAAATGACTATAATGTACACAATTTGATAAGAAAATGACAGACCTACATTCAATTAAGTACAGACAACAGTTTACAGTATGCTGCCCATGTTTCATGTCAGTGGAATATTATATTAAACAATTGTTATATTACAGATTTTAGTATCCTTGATTATTATCCTTGAGAGAGAACGAAAGCTCAGCTGATATAAACCTAGAATATAAGACCTTAAAATAATAGATTTCAGTAAAAAAGGTTGAGGTGAATTCTTGAAAGTGACGTTACTCGTGTATTATAGTGTACAGTGTATTATGTATATTATCCCGCCTTGGTAAATATTTCTAATATGTCTAACAGATATATTGAAGATTTTGGATCCTTGAGAGAGACGTAAAAAAATTAGCAGATATAAACTTGAAAAGTGAGAGCTTAAAATAAAATGTTTTTGTAAGGAAGGTAAAAGTAAATTCTTGACAGTGACGTTACTTGTGTTTTAGGGGGGAATCCCCCCTTGGTTGAATAATTCCAACGGTTTAACAGATATATCGAAGATCTAAGATCCTTAAAAAGGATTTAAAGATCAGCAGAAATAAATTTGGAATCTTAGACCTCAAAATAAAAGATTTCAGTAAAGAAGGTTAAGGTAAATTCTTGACAGTGACTCAACTCATTTGCATTAAAGTGTGACCCTGTCTTGATTCAATATCTCAGTTGATAAATTTAAGGTTTTCAGACAGTTGATAAATTGAAAGTTTCAGATCCACAAAAGGCAGATTGAGCTCAGTAGATATAAAGTTATAATGTAATGTTCCAAATTATAATATCCTAGCAAAGAAAGCTGAAGGTTTCTTGACAGTGGCATTACTCACTTGCATTATACACAACCACCTTTTATGTCAGTGAGATATCATATTGAACATATGTTATATTGTTATATTACAGATTTTGGTATCTTTGAAAGAGACCTAAAGATCAGCAGATATGAACTTAGAATGCAAGATCTCAAAATAAAAGATTTCAGTAAAGAAGGTTAATAAGGTAAATGCTTGACAGTGACGTTACAAGTGTATTAGCACGGGGATCCCGCCATGGTTAAATATTACTAACAATCTAACAAATATATTGAATATTTTAGATTCTTGAAAGAAACCTAAAGTTCAGTAGAAACAAACTTAGAATCTTAAAGCTCAAAATAGAAGACTCGTAAAGAAGATAAGGGGTAGATTCTTGACTTTACTCACTTGCATTGAACTGTGACCACGTCTTGGTTCAATATCTCTGACAGTTGATAAAATGAAGATTTTTGGTTATTTGAAAGTTAGCTCAAGCTCAGTAGAAATATATTTAGAATGTAACATCTTGAAATAAAATATTTTTGTAAAGAAGACTGAGGTAAATTCTTGGAAATGACATTACTCATCTGCATTACAGTCTGGGCTGCATCTTAGATTTAAAATCTCTACCTAAGAGACTTCAGAGAAAATAGATATGGATTCAATATTAAAAATGATGACCTGCCAAAGAAGCATATGGATTCTCCTTGGTAAAAACATTTTCCACATAGAATACTAATAGGATTTATTCATATTTATACTGGAAGAGAGCAAATCATCTTGTCATATGACAAATTATGGCCTCTATGCCAGTTCCATGTTGGATATGGGAATAGTTAACTAGTTTATCTCCTACAAGATCAAAACTTATGAACCAGAGCAGGGTAATCAGAAGTATTATTATTATATATTACCAAATATTTAGTACCCAAAGCAGCACATATTACTGCAATTCTAGATGTAGTGCTCAAAAGTGGGCTTAACCTGTTCTGGTAGGACAACAAATATCTTGTACCAGTCCATGAAAAACAATTGATTGAAGGTGAACGGTACAGATGCTATGAACACACAACTGCACCGATATAGTAAAACTAGCAGTCAACATGAAGAAATCCGAAATGATTTTTATATATTAATTGTGAATATTGAAAATATTACACCAATCGACAGTAAGCATAAATAATATAGAATGAGAAATGAATATCTTGTATATTTTTTCAGCTATTATGATCAATGTGAATGTAGCATATCAATGCAATAGTTGTCCCAAAATAACACTTGGAACAGAGAACAAGAATATCACATATGGACCGAGTAATGAGCGGGACTGCCAATGTGATTGGACAATACCAACAAGTATGGAGACAGATCATGAAACTGCAGTTCTTCTGTTGTTACAAAATGTTTCATTGCCAATGACAACTGGTAGTGGAAGTAGAGACTGCTCAGGAGAAATCAGATTTCCAGGTGAGTATTCAATACTCTTACGTAGGTAAAACTAGTTGTTAATGAAAATGAACTTTGTGCAGGTGCTAGTGGACACAGATGTGATTTTGCAAACAACCAGTGTATTGTTTTTACAACTGAATCAACCATTTGTAACATGAACATAATCAGAGAGAAAATTCCAGTTGCAAATCACACCTGTGATTCAATCATTCCATGGAATAATGCTGGAGGAAGTCCATATAATGTACAATACTATTCCAGAGGCTATGTTGGTTACACAAAATACTTCACAATACAATATCTTGTGGTAGATTGTAGATCTTCAGCAACAACTTTTAAACAAAGTAAGTCATAAACAGCAAAAACATTCAGTTTAACAGTAAAACATCCAACACTAAAAATGAATCTTTTTTTTTTAAAATACAGCAACAGGAAATGGATGGGAAACAACAACAAAGAATCCAATAGAAATTTCGACAACAGAAAAAACTGAACGGACTACAAAAAACAAAAGTAATAAAAGTTTATTTGTCGAAACAATAGCAATCATCCAATACACAATCATAGTCAAAATTATTATAAATTTTAGTTACCGAAGCTGAGCAGCGAACAACACAATCTGATTCCGGCATAACTAATTCTCATTCCATATGTGATTTGGACAAAAACATCACCATCACAACGGGAATCAATGGAAGTTCTGATTCACTGATGATCGCAATTCCAGTTTCAGGAATAGTTGGTTTTATCTTTGGAGCTTTGTCAATGTCTTTCATACAAAGGTAAGAAGTAAAATAACAGTAGCAATATTTTCCCCTCGTTACTTTCAATTTGTATATTGCTTTTGAATATTGTTTTGAGAAATAGGCATAAGTCATTCCGGGTTTTGTTCGAATATGATTAAACAATATGCTATTAAATATTTTTAACCCAGGTATTGCAACAAGAACAAGAAGAAATTGAAGAACAAAGATTCAATGGAAATGGGAAGCATTCAACATCCAGAGCCAACTGTCCATAAACGAACAACATATGAAAACTACACACCAACATCAGATGAAAGTGGATATGAAGTTCCGAATCAAGTTGATAATAAGAATGAACAAAGTGGATATGAAGTTCCGAATCAAGTTGATAACAAGAATGAACAAAGTGGATATGAAGTTCCGAATCAAGTTAATAATAAGAATGAACAAAGTGGATATGAAGTTCCGATTCAGGTTGATAACAAAAATGAACAACAATACGAAGTTATGACAACTGGAAAAGAATATGAATATGAGAATTAACAGCTCGGACAGATCCTTTTCCCAGTCACAAAACTTTGCCACAGAAATTTTGAAACATAAATTTTGGCAAAAATTTGAACTAAACTTTGATCAGCCCTACTGAATAATTTAGAAGTTGTTTACATCTGTAAAATATTCATTTACAACATTTTACATATATTATACCAATTTACAATTATCTGCAATAACTACTTTGAAAAAACTGTACATGCACTGTTTTAACTGGGTGAAACTTTAGCTAAGCAGCCACTCAGCATATCATACCATGTGCATGAGTAGATTATCAATAGACCAATCGAGATCTCTTGCATGAGATGTCGAGACGACTATGCCTCTGAGGCATTAACAGTCTACTCCCAATAAAAACTTAAATGTGAAATTACGAACAAACAATCAAAAACAACTGAATAATTAATTAATTAAGTAACTTCAAATAATTACTGCTAAGTAGAAGTATATTTAAAACCCTTCCTTATTAAGGACCATTTGATAACCCACAAATGTCAGTATTTTTACAAGTTTCTTGATAGCATTAAATTTGAAACTGATTCTAAATTCTAAGAATGACTTGCCTGATTTCTGATTTCTGTTTTGTTTCCTTTTTCAGTTTCCTCTTCTAACATTTATGTTGTCACACAAATTCTGTAAAATGAATGAAATAAATTATACATATGTCTGATATAGTTGAGAAGTTTTTATAAGCAAAAGTCTGGTTAGTAAAGAAGATTTATTCAATGAAAAAGGCAGGTTATATTCCAAGAAATCTTTCACTCTTATGAAGACTTAACCAAAATAGTAGAAAAGAAAAGTAAATCACAATAAGGATTGTTTTTCTTCATTTAAGAAGTAAGAAGAGTTATCAGTGGCTGTAATCACAAATCATAATAAAACTCTGACTCTGATCAAAGCCTTATTTGCTGAACTATATGACTGCTGGAATAAAAAAAAACATAATTTTTCCAGTTTCCAACTTTACCAACTCCTTATTGTCAGTTAAAGGCGAAAAAAAAGAATTTGATTTCAAAAGCTAAATAATCTACCATTTATGGTGACTCAAGATATAGCTCCAACTTGAAATAAAGAAACACATGAATTCATTGCCTAATCAAGCTACATTACTATAATTTAAACAAATAAACTGATAAGCAAAAAATAATTGTCAGTATTACTAAAAAAACACTTCATCTTGCAATGTACGAATATCTGAAGATGTCGTACTTCCTGATTGTCGGTTGACATTCTGACACTTTCTCCACCTATGAGTGATAATTAAATTTCCTATAGACTCGAAATAAATATCTATAATCAGCAGTATTTGATGAAACAATCATCAGTAAGCATTACTAATAATTTTAGTTTCTATCATTAGACATAGAGGGAAACTCATTTGAATTATTTTTCTCACTTAAACTTTACAGTAGGTTTGACATCACAAATGTTTTTTTCCAAAACGGCCCAAAAGAGTATTTTCTCATTTCAGAACAGCACTCAGTCTTATAGTTGAGTAATCAATACTGGCATAGTATATGTACCAGCTTAGGGTTAGGCCATAATTTTATTCCAATTTTCCTTATTTTATATCTATTACAAGTTCGGAGGGTATCAGTGCCTTTATACAACTTGATGTAAAGTAGGCGAACAAAATTAGTTACCTCCATATTGGTACATATACTTCTGGAGCGCCGAGTAATCTATAAATATATCAATAAGTAAGTATATTAGCAATTCCAAATAATATTCATCCACCACTAGCAACTGACCTGTTTAATGACTGTTCGACCTATGAATCAAATGTTTTAAATTGTAACAAAGAAAACCTTACACTCCTATACAAATGACAAACAATAATGCATGATAATACATGGCACAAGTATATCGCCTTTATGTTGTATTTATGTTATGTTGTCGATATTTCCCACGTCATTAATCATAATATTAATAAAAGTCAGTAATCATTACATAGTAGCAACATAAGGAGGTGTTTAACAGTCACTGGTTCACATTAACAAGGAGAGATTCTGAATATAAATCAGAAGCTTGTTACATCAAGTGTTGAGACAGGTCTTGTATTTTGTCAGTTAGACTTTGTCTTTATCTATGTTAGTACTGTGTAATGAATGGAGTGATTGAAGAAACAAAGCAAAGAGAAGTTCAAAGGAGTACTGAAGATAAACTCAACATGTGGAAACATTCAAATCTCTTCAATTGCAAATGGTTGTTTATGCAGATAATTGGTGAGATCTTACTTGCATAAAAGTTACACATAAACAAATAAGTTCCAAATTCAAATTCAGTTCCTTGGAACTGAAAGAAAGAATATTACATATAGGCATACAGTCATATTATTGTATATTTCACAGCTTATAGCATCAATTCCACTATATCAGCCCGATGTACAGAATGTTCAAATACAATACTTGGAACAGAGAGCAAGAATATCACATATGGACCAAGTAATGAATACAACTGCAACTGTGATTGGACAATACCAGAAGATATGGACACAGATCATGAAACTGCTGTTGTTCTGTTGTTAAAAAAATTTTCATTTCCGAGGACAACTGATAGTGGAAGTACACACTGCTCTGGAGAAATCAGATTCCCGAGTAAGTGTTCAGTACAATACAAGTATAAAGTAATTAAAAACAAATGATGCTTCACTTGTTAGAGCAATATAATTGTTCTACAAGTATCAAATGGTCTGGGACAATTGTAATTAGCTCAACAATACTAATGTAATTTATGCAGGCACTGATGGATACAAATGCGATTTCCCAAGCAACTATTGTCTTGCATTTGCAACAGCATCAATCATTTGCAACATCAACAAAATCAGAGAGAAAATTCCAGATGCAAACCACACCTGTGATTCAATCATTCCATGGAATGAAGCTGGAGGAAGTCCATATAAGATACAATACAATTCCAGAGGCTATGCTGGTTACACAAAATACTTCACAATACAATATCTTGTAATAGATTGCAGACCAACAACCACACCTGCACTCAGTGAGTAATTTTCATTTTGTTATACAATGCTTAATCCTGCTTATGCTCAGGTAGTCACAGATATACCAATCTATAAAGAACCATATTTATCACACCCGGGTGAGGTGGTGGGATGAGAGAAACCCGAGATGTGTAACCTACAACAGGAGTGGGCAAGGTTTTTAGACTAGGGGCCAGAAATTTTGCTCATCTAGAATGGCGGGCCATGTTAGTATGACATAAAAAGTTACATTTTATGAACAATACTTAGTGTTACAAAAGCAAAAGTGGAAAACAATAAGTCTCATGCCAAAACTAAATTTAATCGCAATCTCAACAAATTCCTCGAGCTATCTTTTTTAGCTAAAACAACAAAATTTAGTTTTAGTTTGGTTATGGCAGCATCAGGTGGGACAAATTAAATTACCAAATAAGCCGGATTTGACCCGCGGGCTGTAGTTTGCCCATGTCAGTCCTACAATGTCAACACAGTTTAAGTGAAACACCTTAACCACTAGGGTCAGGCGACCATGTCCATATTGCTCTTGTTGAACGATATATCTCAATTTCTGGATGTGAAAATCAAACTTTTATTACAAAATTTTAACAACGGAAACTAAGCAAGCAACAACAACATCAACTCATCCAAGAGACATATCCTCTTATAAAAGATACTTTGACTCAACCACTGAATCAACCAAAACCACTGACAACATTCAATGTCCAACTGAAAATAGTGAATGCAGCAGCTCCCAAGCATCACTGATCATTGCTATTCCAGTATCAGGAATTATGGGTTTGATCATTGGAATTTTGTTGACACTCATTATACCAAAGCAAGCATTGATGGTATAAATTAGATGAATATCATTTATGAGCACAATTACCAAGTTGCTTGAATACGAGATAAGTTGTTAAGTCAGTAATATTCTTCATCTTCTGATTGTAAGATGATCAAAATTCGAACCCAGTCCAGTCTAAAGCTGCTAACCATGAGTTGACAAGATTTTGACCTCAACTCCCAACCCCACAAATAAAAATAATGACCACTGACTCTATCTCATGTCATGTCTATTTTCTATGGAGCCAAGTTGAATTTACAAATCATTTCCAAGTTTAAAAGAAAACGGTACTGTTTCCAGATACTGCTGGATAAACACTGCGGAATATGCATTTGATCATGCCACTAGAATCATGGAAATTTATAATTTTAATTACAACTAATAAAACTTGAACAAACTAACTCCAGACATGTTTCCAATAGCAACCTTAAATGCAAAATTTAAGTTTTGTTGTGAGGCCCAATGAAGCAAATTTCAAAATTAAAAGCAATCAAAAATTTACCCTCAATGACTCCATCTATTACTTACTTGTATTTTCTATCAAACACCAGATTTTATAACAACAGCAAAAAGAAGAAACCGAAAAACAAAGATGCAATGGAAATGGGAAGCATTCAACATCAACAGCCAAATGTCCATGAACGAACAACATATGAGAACTACACACCAACATCAGATGAAAGTGGATATGAAGTTCCGATTCAAGTTGATAACAAGAATGAACAACAATATGAGGCTATAACAACTGGAAAAGAATACAAATATGACAATTGAAAGCTTGGACTTTGAACTAAACTTTGATCAGCTCTCCGGAACAAATTAGAAGTTGTTTGCATCTGTGATATATTCTTCAACAACGTTTAACATATTAAATTTTATCAATTTACAATTATCTATAAGTAATACATTCGATTCGGAGAACTTTTCCATGCAGTGCCATATCTGGGAAAATTCTAGCCCAAGCAGCCACTCAGCATAATCTACTAATATAGCTAATCTGTGAATGAGTGTGCGAGAGTAGATAACCAATGGACCAATCAAAATCTTTGCATAAGTGTCTAGATCAGTGGTTTTCAAACTCATACATATTGTCGCCCCCTCTTAAAGCACTCTGTATATCGATATCGCCCCCGGTAAATAAAGGAAAAAAAATTAAGAACACATGGATTACAAACCCAATTTAAAAATATAGAATAATAGAACTTGGTGTTTGTAAGACAGACAAGCTCGGAATATTTAGGCAAATTTATTTAATGTTCAGAATTAATTTGGTCAGGTACAATCTTAGATGGGCCATTTGATTACGTCAAAGCTAAAAACCTTCATGGTTCTACTTCTTCGTAAATGAGTACGATAGGTATTTGCTACATGACTTGCACCACAATATATCAAATTCTCCTTTGCCAAAAATTCATTTTGAGTTTGCGATGATTTAGACTATTTCAAATATGCATTACCGCCCATCCAACACCAGGTTTTTTTTCCACATCATCCTATCCATATTGTGACTCTTTCACCCCCTAGAGCAGTGGCTCTCAACCTTTTGCAGTTCGCGGACTGGTAAAATTTCAAAACAAATTTTGTGGACTGGCGGACATTCAAAATTAACCAAAAATGTCATGAACACAAAACATACCGGTAATCAAAAGAATGCAATTACGACTAAAGTAGGCGGTACAAATCTACTGTCTTTGTCACTTAATCAAACAATTTTGGATTCCACAACTAATTTGCGGATTTCCGACGAAAACACGAGTCTGTACACGCTTCGATAGATACCTAAGTGGTGTTTCTCGCGAGGGTGAACAATAAGGAATCATTTTTTCCTGGTAGGTATCAATGGTGGCAAGCCAAATTTTCTAAATTGAAAATCGGGGATACAAAATACTCAAAATAAGACAGAGAACACCATAAGTTTAGTTTTATAATGGTCATGACCGAATAAAATGCTTTTCTAAACATTGCAAATCGCAAAACTTCGGGTGCTACCGTAGTGTACGTACCAGGGCATTTTCCCTTAGGATACTTTACTGGAGCGCCGTAAGTGTGGCACGAACAGCTCAGATTTGTCGAATTCACAAAAATAAGAATCAAAACAAAATATAATCGGTCACTTTACTACACATTTTCGTGTCCACGGATTGTCATGGTAATTTCTGAGAAGTAATGCTTTTATTTAGTCAACACAACCACAGATTAAAATGCCCGTATTGGTCATTGATTGAATATTTTATGCAACAGAAAAAATCATTGAAAAGTCGGCTCTTTTGACGAGTGACGTATACGCGACAATTACTTCAGGAGTCGTTTCGCGAGAATATGTATTTTTGATTTACTAATATACTTTATATATAGTACTAAATCGAGTTGTACTTGGAAATTTATAGCAGATAGTAGGATTTTTAACGAACACGTAATTGCGTAATTGCAAATATTCGATTTTGAAAATCGTTAAAATTCTGTTGTGTTTGGTTTTATTGCCTCTTCACACAGAGTCCGGTTGCAATAAATGAACCATGAGTCAGCGAAGGTTTTCGCTGTTGAGAAAATAGTCGGCGACCAAAAAAGGTTGGGAAACGGTGGGCTAGACAAACAATCCGTTTAGTAGCAACAGATTCGTCTCTGTTGTACTTTTTGACTGTTATTAAACTACATTTTTTCTACAAAATCTGTTCCAATTTATTTGGAATTTTACAGTAAATAGCTATATCTTTTGTGCGAGAATTTCTGCACATTCATAAATAAAAGGAATTGTTTTTTAAGTTCTAAATTTGAATCAAAAAAGAAACTTCAGTTTTATAAACTGCTAGTAAAAAATAATGTGGTTAATAATAGGTTGCTAATATGCACTATTGGGTGTGGGATTGTATACCGATATCGTTTTAAGCGTGATTCAGTCTGAATACTGAATATCCAATTCAGGGTTTCCCAAACTGGGGGGCTAGGGGTCGAGCGACGAATTTTAGGGGTCGCGAATATGACAAATATGAATGGAGTAGCGGCGGGCTTGCATAACAATGCCGGCTTTGATTGTTAGACCCGAGAAGTGGCATGTATCCAAATCACCCGCAGGCCGCACAGAAGTATCTAGCGGGTCGTATGTTGTGCAGGCCTGCTCTAGACAAAACTGTAGAAAAACAGCCAGTGAGACATATAAGACTTCTAAAATCATAAACAGCATAATACTTGCAGTTCAGCAAACTCTAAGGAATACATAACCAATTGGGATAAGTTTAGAATTTTAGGGGTCGCGAATATGACAAATATGAATGGAGTAGCGGCGGGCTTGCATAACAATGCCGGCTTTGATTGTTAGACCCGAGAAGTGGCGTGTATCCAAATCACCCGCGGGCCGCACAGAAGTATCTAGCGGGCCGTATGTTGTGCAGGCCTGCTATAGACAACACTGTAGAAAAACAGCCAGTGAGACATATAAGACTTCTAAAATCATAAACAGCATAATACTTGCAGTTCAGCAAACTCTAAGGAATACTTAACCAATTGGGATAAGTTTAGAAATGAATTGTTAAGTAGAACAAAATGAGAGCAAAATGAAACCGAAATCTATGAGGACAAAACTAATCTAACAGGTATTAAACTGTCCAACATATATTGAATATTGTATTAAAAATTGTATTCTCCTAGTCTTAAATAATTCAATCTAGATTGTGGAGCAAGGCAATGTTCCCTGGAGTCTGAATTATTTTAGGAGAGAGATAAGCAACATTTATAAATCTGAATCTTATATACGTTCAATGTAGTGAAAAAAACCTGACTGAAGGATAGGATTTACATATTTATCCCGGGGGAGAGGAAAGCCAATAAGACGGCTTATCCATATGGCGAACCACGGCCTCTCGTCCGGTTACCATTCCAAGTCGGGTATGGGATTAGATATACTGTATTGTTTGTTTTCGGAAGCATGGACCTGGTGGTGGAGGAAGCCGTAAACGACCAGCGGTTACGTGAACCACCCAACGACGGCGAGGAGTTCAGCAATCCTCTCGCACATAACCATCCCTACATGGGATTTGAACCTGCGAACCCACGCAGAGTAATTAGAGGTGCGCTGGCGAGCGGATTCTTAACGCTTAGCCGTTGAGCCAGACCGCCGCGAAGTATAACAAAATATAATGAGGGGAACCACTACCCACTTCCCTCAATAAAAAGGAAAATAGATGTGACTCATGAGTGAGTTAATCTACCATTTATGGTGACTGTGGATATAGCCTCACCCTAAAATCTACACCCATTAACAAAAATTTACCTAATAAATAATTATAGAGAGAAGATGGCTGGATACATTAATACGGCATACTTCCTGATTGTCGGTTGACGTCCTAACAATTTCGTCACCTATGAGTAATTTTTCAACTTCCTATAAACCAGAATGAATGATGATCTTAGTACGTAATACAATAAACATCTATATTCAGCAGTATTCGATGAAACAATCATCAGAGAGCATTGCCAATAATTTCAGTAGAGGGAAACTAGTTTGAATTAATTTTCTAGGATTTATAAGTTTAGACATTATTAGTAGACTGAAATAAAAGAACAACAATTTACGAGAATATTTCTGTAATGTTTTATCTGACCAAAGACAGACTTCCTCAGACAAGGAATTTACAACAATCAGGACTCTTGCATAGTATAGTCATGTTCATTTCTTCTACAGCATCCTTGCATTATACGCATATGAATCGACATGCATAGAGACACAGAGAGAAGGATGGAAATTAGTCTTGCGTAACCTAGCACACAATTCACAAGATGTCGCAATAATACAGAAATGACATTTTCAGGTTTTGTTTGACTAGAAATCTTTCATCAAACGGTTTCCACCAATGTGACTAACAAAGAAATTTCACTCAAACTTTACAGTAGATTTGACATCTCAAATGTTTTCTTTCAAAATTGCCTCACGAAAGCATTTTCTCCTTTCCGAACAGGACCCAATCTTTTAGTTGTGTAATCGGTACTCCCGTAGTATATGTACCAGGTTACTGTTAGGCCTTATATTTTTTTTAGATTTTTCTTATTTTAGTTTTATTACCAGTTCATCGTTCAGGGACTGTCTGTGTTAACCAAGTGAATATACCCTCTGTCCATAGGTTTCAGTCCCTTCTCACAACTTGATGTAAACTAGGCGAACAAAATTAGTTCCTTCCATATTAGTACATACACTTCTGGAGCGCTGAGTAATCTATGATTATATCAATGAGTAAGTCTATTAGCAATTCCAAATAATATCTATCAACCACTTTAACTAATCTGTGAGAACTGTTCGACCTATGAATCAAATATTTCAAATTGTAACATAAAAAAATCTTACACTTCTATACAAATGACAAACAATACAAAATGTCAAGATAATACATGACACAAGTAGATCAACGCTATGTCGTAATGATATTTCGCCCACATTCTTAATTATAATAATAAATATAAGTCAGTAATCATCATTACGTAGTAGCAACCACAGAGAGAGGTGTTTCATAGTCACTGATTCACATTAACAAGGAGAGATTCTGAATACAAATCAGAAGCTTGTTACATCAAGTGTTCAGACAGGTCTTGTATTTTGTCAGTTGGATTTTGTCTTTATCTATGTCAGTACTGTGTAATAAATTGACAAAGAGAAGTTTAAAGAAGCTTCTGAAGATAAACTCAACATGTGGAAACATTCAAAACTCTTCAATTGCAAATTGTTGTTTATGCAGATAATTGGTGAGATCTTACTTACATTAAGTTTAGTTACACATTCTGCTGTTACACAACCAACTGTGATGGGTATTATTAGTTGGTATTCGAAAGTTTCAAATTATTTACACTTACAGTAATTTGAAATTGTCTCATCAAATTATGATAAGCAACTTCTTTAAAATCAAATCGCGGACAATTGAGGTTATTTAACTTTTTTTTTCAAAACATATTACACATCCAGATTCAATATAAAAATATTATATAATTTTAACTATTTTGTCTTTCAAATACCTCGAATGTTTAAAAAAGGAATAATTAAGTTTGATACAATTATTCATGGATTTAAGAATCTGTAATACAATAGAAAAAGGGGTACTCCTGAAGTATGCGCACCAAGATGTCGCATAACCTGAACCCTAACCTGGTACACAACCTGAGTTCAGGTTGTGCGTCATCTTGGTGCGCATACTTCGGGAGGTCCGATAAAGGATTATAAAATATATTTGATTTATAAATGTGTTTTAAAATTCGTAGTATTTTCAAAAAAAAAAAGTTATATTGCAAATGAATCACTCAATTCCTTTTTAGCATTTAGTATTGGTCTGAATGAAGCAGCACAATGCACTGATTGTAGAAACACACAACTTGGAACAGAGAGCAAGAATATCACATATGGACCAAGTAATGAATACAACTGTCAATGTGAATGGACAATACCAACAAGTATGGACACAGATAATGAAAATGCAGTTGTTCTGTTGTTGCAAAATATTTCATTGCCAAAGACAACTGATATTGGAATTACAGACTGCTCTGGAGAAATCAGATTCCCAAGTGAGCTATATAATACCACTCAACTATTACTATACTATTGTAATACACAGCAACAATTATTAAAAATATTAGTTAATACAAAATTGTATCAATACATTCACAGGTACTGATTCTCATAAATGTGAATTTGCAATCAACTACTGTCTTGTATTTGCAACTGCATCAACCATTTGCAACATCAACAAAGTCAGAGAGAAAATTCCAGTTGCAAATCACACCTGTGATTCAATCATTCAATGGAATAGAGCTGGAGAAAGCCCATACAAGATACGATACAATGTAGGAAATTTGGCTGGTTACTCAAAATACTTTACAATACAATATCTTGTAATAGATTGCAGACCAACAACCACAACTGCACTAAGTGAGTTTTTTTTTTTGTTATACAATGCCTAATCATGCTTATGCTCAGGTAGGCACAGATATACCAATCTATATAGAACCATATTTATCACACCCGGGTGAGGTGGCGGGATGGGGGAGAACCTGAGATGTGTACCGTTCAACAGGAGTGGGCAAGTTTTTAGACTAGGAGCCAGAAATTTTGCCCAACTTGGCGGGCCATGTCAGTATGACGTAAAAAGTTAATATTTTATGAACAATACTTAGTGTTACAAAAGAAAAAGTGGAAAACAATATGCCTCGTGCCAAAACTAAATTTAATCACAATCTCAACTATTACTTACTTGATTACTTTTTTTAGCTAAAACATCAAAATTTAGTTTTAGTTTGGTTACGGCAGAATCACGGAGGCCAGATTAAACTCCAAACAGGCTGGATTTGGCCCGCGGGCTGTAGTTTGCCCATGTCAGTCCTACAATGCCAACACAGTTCAAGTGTAACATCTTAACCACTAGGGCCAGGCGACCATGCCAATATTTCTCTTGTTGAACGATATAACTCAATTTCGGGATGTGAGAATCAAACTTTTATTACAAAATTTTAGCCACGATAACTGAGCAAGCAACAGCAACTCATCCAAAAAATACATCATCTGATAAAATATACTTTGACTCAACCACTGAATCAACCAGAACATCTGGCAAAACTCAAAGTCCTATCAAAGACTGTGAATGCAACAGCACTGAAACATCACTGATCATTGCTATTCCAGTATCAGGAATTGTGGGTTTGACCATTGGAGTTTTGTTGACACTCGTAACACCAAAGTAAGCATAGATGGTATAAATTAGATGAATATCATTTATGCGCACAGTTACTCAAGTATGCTTGAATACAAGATATTAACAAAGTATTCAACCTAGTACTGCTAAGTCAGGTATATCTTCATCTTCTGATTGTAAGACGATCAAAATTCTAACCCAGTCAAGTCTCAAGCTGCTAACCATGAGTTGACAAGACTTTGACCTCAACTCTCAACTCCACAAATAATGCAAATACCCACTGATTCTATCGCCTGATGTCTATTTTCTATTGAATCAAGTTGATTCGAAGTTTCAATCTAATTCAAAGTTTAAAGAAAAAAACATAGTACTGTATCCAGATACTGCTGGATGACAATACTTTAACTATGGACACTGTGGAATTTGCAAACACTCTTAGTTTCATTTAGAAACGCTTATGACGATAGAATCTTGCAAACTCATTACTTTAATAAAAACGAAGTCCAACCATGTTTTCGATAACAGCCTCAAATACTGAATTCAAGTTTTTGTGTTGGGTCCCAGTGAGGTAATGAAGCGGATGTCAAATTAAAAACGATCAAAAATCTATCATTAACTTATATTTCTATCAAACACCAGATATTGCAACAACAACGAAAAGAAACCAAAATACAAAGATTCAATGGAAATGGGAAGCATTCAACATCAGCAGCCAACTGTCCATGAACGAACAACATATGAAAACTACACACCAACAGCAGATGAAAGTGGATATGAATATCTGAATCAAGTTGAAAAAAAGAATGAACAAAGTGGATATAAAGTTCCGAATTCAGTTGATAACAAGAATGAACAACAATATGAGATTATAACAACTGGAAAGGAATATCAATATGACAATTGAAAGCTTGGACAGATTTTTTTTGAAAGTCACAGAACTATGCCACAGAAATTTTATAACATAAATTTTGGCAAAAACATGAACTAAACTTTGATCAGCTCTCCGAAACAATTTAGGAGTTGTTCGTATCTGTGATATATTCTCAACAACGTTTTACATATTAAATTATATCAATTTACATTTGTCTATAGTTAATACATTCGAAGAACTTTTCCATGCAGTGCCTTATCTGAGAAAAGTTCTAGCCCAAGCAGCCACTCAGCATATTCTACTAATATAGCTAATCTGTGAGTGAATGTGTGGACCAATCAAGATCTTTGCATGATAGTGTCTAGATCAGTGGTTTTCAAACCTATATGTACTGTAGCCTCTCTTACAGCACTCTATATATCACATCGACCCCCCGGCAAATAAAGAAGAAGACAAATTAATAACACAATTACAAAAATTATAATAATAGAACATGGTATTTGTGAGCCAAATTAGCTTGGGATCTTCAGCAAATTTATTCAATGTCCAGAGATAATTTGGTCAGGTACAGCCTTAGATGGGCAATTTGATTATGTCAAAGCTAAAAAAAAACTTGGTTCTACTACTTCGTAAATAAGTGGGTATTTGAGACAACTTGCAACAAAATAATTCGAACTCCTTTTTGCGAAAATTCATTTTGTTTGTGATAATTTTGACCATTTCAAGAAAGTATTACCCCCAATCCTACCTCCAATGTGACTCCTTCAGCCCCAAGACGATGCTACTGGCTTCTAATTATAACAAAATCCAGTTTACACAACTGGTGACTGAAAAATGACAATATTTTTACATGCTTCTTAATCACAATGAATTTGAAATGCTTCTATAATAAGTATTCTTGCCTGTTTTCAGATTTCTTTTTTGTTTCTTTTTCGATTTTTCAACTTGCTCTTGTAACAATAATGTTGTCAAACAGATTCTGTAAAATGAATGAAAAAAATTATACAAATGTCTGATATAGTTTGACAGTTTTTATGAACAAAAGTCTGGTTAGTAACGAATTTTATCTCAAAAGCTAAATAATCTACCAGTTATGGTGACTCAAGATATAGCTCCAACTCAAAATAAACACATGAATTCATTGCTTAATCAACCTACATTACTATAATTTAATTTAAACTAATAAACTGATAAGCAAAAATAATTGTCAGTAATACTAAAAAAACACTTTATCTTGCAATGTAAGAATATCTGAAGATGGCATACTTCATGATTGTCAGTCGACATTCTGACACTTTCTTCAACTATGAGTGATAAATCAACTACCTATATACCAGTATCAACGACGCTCATAGTATGTTATATAATAAATATCTATAATCAGCAGTATTTGATGAAACAATCATTCGTGAGCATTGCTAATAATTTTAGTTTCCATTATTAGTCATAGGGGGAAACTCGTTTGAATTAATTATCCAGAATTTATAAGTTTGGACATTATTAGTAGATTGAAATAAATAACAACAATTTACAAGATATGCAATTCAAGAGTCCTGCTACACACTAAGACAGATATATTTCTGTAATGTTTCATCTGACCGAAATCAGACTCCCTCAGACCAGCAGTTTACAACAATGACAAGAAAAAAACAATCATGCAGTTTAAATATGACAATAAATAAATTTGTTTGAAAATAATTGTGACCCAAATAATGAATTAAATATTTGTATTTAGAAACAGATTGCGACGAAAAAAATACAATCGGACTCTTGAATTGCATAGTATGGTATTTTTATTCCTGCTACAGCATTCTTGCATTATTTGCATACGATTCGACTAGCGCAAAGGCATTGAGGAAGGATTGGGAGTTAGTCTCACGCAACCTGTACTGATAATTTACAAGATGTTCCAATAATACGCAAAAGACAATTTCAAGTTTCGTTTGGTTTTATTTTCCAGCAATGTGGTTGACAAGGGAATCTCACTTAAACTTTACAGTAGGTTGGACATCTCAAATGCTTTCTTTCAAAATGGCGCACGAAAGCATTTTCTCCTTTCCGAACTGGATCCAATCCTATAGGTGTGTAATCGGTACTCCTGTAGTATATGTACCAGGTTGAGGTTAGGCAATAATTTTATTCCAATTTTTCCTATTTTTGTTCTATTACGAGTTCGGGGACTGTCTGTGTTAGCCAAGTGAATATACCCCCTGCCCATAGGTTTCTTTCCCTTTACATAAACTTGATGTAAAGTAGGGAACAAAATTAGTTACCCTCATATTGGTACATATACATCTGGAGCGCCGAGTAATTAATAGATGTATCAATGAGTAAGAATATTAGCAATTCAAAATAATATCCATCAACAAAGAAATTTTTACACTCCTACACAAATGACAAAGATTACAAAATGTCAAGATAATACATGACACAAGAAGATCATCACAATGTATAGTAATGATATTTCGCCTACATTCTTAATCATAATATTAATATAAATCAGTAATCATTACGAAGTAGCAACCAGAAAGAAGTGTTTCATGGTCACTGATTCACATTAACAAGAAGAGATTCTGAATATAAATCAGAAGCTTGTTACATTAAGTGTTGAGACAGGTCTTTATTTCGTCAGTTAGATATTGTCTATATCTATATCAGTACTGAGTAATGGATTAAGGGACTGGAGAGAAAACAAAGAGAAGTTTAAAGAAGTTGCTGAAGATAAACACAACATGTGGAAACAATCAAAACTTTTCAATTGCAAATGGTTGTTTATTCAGATAATTGGTGAGATCATACTCACATAAATAGTTACAAATCAATAAATAAATGTACATTTGTTAACCAAAAACATAATAGCCCAATGAATTCTCATCCAAAGTCATTCATGAAATATTAATCTTAATAATAGATTTTCATTAATATATGACTTCTAAATTGTTTAAAAACAAGAATAATGGAGTTTTAAACAATATAATTTTCAACCATGTATGAGATTGAGAAAATATCAATTCTATACATATAAACGTGTTTTTGTCTTTATGAGACTGATAAAATATGGATGGATTTCTCAATGTTGTAATTGTAAAAACTTATTTCTTTATAGCACTAAGCATCAGTCTGAATGAAGCAGCATCTTGCACTGATTGTTCAAATACAATACTTGGAACAGAAAGTAAGGATATCACATATGGACCAAGTAATGAATACAACTGCCAATGTGATTGGACAATACCGACAAGTATGGACACAGACCATGAAACAGCAGTGGTTCTGTTGTTACAAAATGTTTCACTGCCAATGTCAACTGGTGGTGGAGGAAGTAGAGAGTGCTCTGGAGGAATCAGATTCCCAAGTAAGCTGTATTATACTAATTACCGTACTGTTAATATACTACCGTATGCTATTCTAATATACAGCAACAATGAATAAAAAACATTAGTACTATAAAAATGCATCAAAACCTTCACAGGAACGGATAGTTTGGTGTTGTACGAATACAGTTATGTAACTTAAGTTAGATTCATGGTGAATTTGACAGATTTTCCGACACAGTAATCACCTAACACCAGCGCTGTTTAAAATTCAACGACGGCGCAATTTTGTTTAAAGATGGAAATAGTTTAATGTATCTACCAGTCTGGCAAAACGCAACATCGTTTTTTAAAAGTTGTTGAAGTCTAACAGGTGTTAAACTGATTCAATTTGGTAAAATATGTAAAAACCGTCCACCACCAAATATTGAGCGCACAACAGCCGATGTGTTTATTTTAAATTTTCTAATGTTACAAATGTGAATTTTGGTGACCCTTGGTCCACATAATAGGCTAATAACAATGCAAACAAATACGTAATGTTTAAAATTAGAGGTTTGTAAAGCTGCAGTACATAAACAAGGTACACCGACGCTATGCTTATATTTATGACAAGTTGATACAACATTTGCGGACCCATGTACTTGGTTACTGTATACCATTCTAAAATACAGCAGCGATTAATAACAAAAAAACATTAGTAAATACCAAAAATGTATCAATACTTTTACAGGCACTGCTGCACACAAATGTGAATTTCCAAACAACTACTGTCTTGCATTTGCAACTGCATCAACCATTTGCAACATCAACAAAATCAGAGAGAAAATTTCAGTAGCAAATCACACCTGTGATTCAATCATTCCATGGGATGAAACTGGAGGAAGCCCATACAAGATACAATACTATGCAGGAAGATACTATGATTACTCAAAATACTTCACAATTCAATATCTTGTGGTAGATTGTAGACCAACAACCACACCTGCACTCAGTGAGTAATTTTCATTTTTTTATGCAATGCTTAATCATGTTTTATGCTCAAGAAATCACAGATATACCAATATATAAAGAACCATATTTATCACACCTGGGTGAGGTGGTGGGATGGGGGAAACCTGAGATGTGTAACGTTCAACAGGAGTGGGCAAGGTTTTTGGACTAGGGGCCAGAAAGTTTGCCCATCTAGAATGACGGGCCATGTAAGTATAACGTGAAAAGTCACATTTTATGAACGATACTTAGTGTTACAAAGCAAAAGTGGAAAACAATAGGCCTCATGCCAAAACTAAATTAATCGCAATCTCAACACAAATTCCTTGAGCTATTTTTAGCTAAATATCAAAATTTAGTTTTAGTTTGGTTATGGCCGCATCAGGCGGGCCAAATTGAACTACCAAACGATCCGGATTTGGCCCGCGGGCTATAGTTTGCCCATGTCAGTCCTACAATGTCAACACAGTTTAAGTGTAACACCTTAACCACTAAGGCCAGGTGATTGCTCTTGTTGAACGATGTATCTCAATTTCAGGATGTGAGAATCGAACTTTTATTACAAAATTTTAGCCACGATAACTGAGCAAGCAACAACAATAGCAACTCATCAAAAAGATACATCATCTTATAAAACATACTTCAACTCAACCACTGAATCAACCAGAACATCTGGCAACGTTAAATGTTCATCTGAAAATAGTGAATGCAGCAGCTGCAAAACAT